TTTATTTTCTAATCTCCTAGACTTCCAAAAGAGATTTATCTCCTAGGCTCTTGCTTTTTGCATTTTTGCTCGGCTCAAAGGCGTGTTTTGCTCCATGCTCCCTTCACCGTCGGGGCATCGCTATTGGCTACTTCAAACGCCTTTACGAGTTGCTTCACACGTTTCGTACGTATCAAACTCTTTTAGGCAAATACGACAAACTCTTTTAGGAAAATACGATATCAAACTCTTTTAGGAAAATACGATATCTTTTTCCGCTCCTAGAAATTTATTTTCTTTTTTCGCCTTTTCTGACCTTGCTTGATCTTGACGTATGAGGTGTCGTTAGATTCGTCTCAGCAGCGTGAGTGACACTGGCTATATTAAAAATTCATAAATTCAAGATGGCGGATTTTAATTGCAAAATACAACTTTGAAATTAGCAGTCGGGTTCTTGTTTTTTAAATACATCTGCTTGTTTTCAAATTATTGCTATTTTGAATTATGACTTTCACTATGCATCTACTCCACAAATAACAATTTACTGCTATTATCTCTTTGTCGGAAGTCGGGAGGTACTTAAAATTGTGTCCAGATAGATACCATCCGATAAGATTCGTTATTTTTTCTAATCTCCAAGACCTACTTACAGCTTGGAGCTTCAAAAAGAGATTTATCTCCTAGGCTCTTGCTTTTTGCATTTTTGCTCGGCTCAAAGGCATGTTTTGCTCCATGCTCCCTTCACAGTCGGGGCATCGCTGTCGGCTACTTCAATCGCCTTTACGAGTTGCTTCAACACGTTTCGATGGTATCAAACTTTTTTAGGCAAATACGATATCAAACTCTTTTAGGAAAATACGATATCAAACTCTTTTAGGAAAATATGATATCTTTTTCCGATCCTAGTTTATTTTCTTTTTCGCCATTTCTGACCTTGCTTGATCTTGACGTATGAGGTGTCGTTAGATTCGTCTCAGCAGCGTGAGTGACACTGGCTATATTAAAAATTCATAAATTCAAGATGGCGGATTTTAATCGCAAAATACAACTTTGAAATTAGCAGTCGGGTTCTTGTTTTTTAAATACATCTGTTTGTTTTTAAATTATTGCTATTTTGAATTATGACTTTCACTATGCATCTACTCCACAAACTACTGCTATTCTCTCTTTGTTGGAAGTCGGGAGGTACTTAAAATTGTGTCCAGATAGATACCATCCGATAAGATTCGTTATTTTTTCTAATCTCCAAGACGGGCACTTGTAGCTTCCAAAAGAGATTTATCTCCTAGGCTCTTGCTTTTTGCATTTATGCTCGGCTCAAAGGCGTGTTTTGCTCCATGCTCCCTTCACCGTCGGGGCATCGCTATCTGCTACTTCAAACGCCTTTACGAAATGCTTCAACACGTTTCGTACGTATCAAACTCTTTTAGGAGAATACGATACCTTTTTCGCGATCGTTCCTAGAAATTTATCTTCTTTTTCTTCGCATGTCGATGGCAAGTAATGTCAAATTAATTTTGTCCAATATGCTGCCTCACATACCTACATCTTCCTTGGGACTCTACATACAGAGAGAGATGCTCCATAGTGCGAAGGTTAGCGTAAAAATAGAGCCAAAGCTGAAAATTGCCATGAAGGTTATTTTTGGCCTACTTGGTGTGTAGTTTCAAGCTGTCACCACCCCCTTTCAGGTTTCATTATTGTTTTGACTAGGTCAAAAAGTTCTCTTATGCTGATTTTCAACTTTTTAGCCTACCTAGAGTTTAAACAATAACGACTCTATTAAATTTTTCATTGTGCTGAAATTACCTGTAGGCCTGTCGAGTGTCGACCTCTATTCTTTCATCCTCAACTCTTTGCAACACTTGAAACTACAAACTGGTAATATTCCGGCTTGGGGCGGCCTACCGTTTAGTCTTGTTATTCCTATAAAATGCATCTTATACCACTGTCATAAGGTAATTTTTCTTTGTTCATCATTCAAACTGTGTTGGCCTAGTGTAATTCTTGGTTATTTATCAGATTTTTACCATATTTCCTGCTTTTAAGGTGCATTTTTCTTTGTAGACCACTCAATCTGTGTTACCCTAGTAATACGCTTCGTTATTCCTGTGAAATTAACCTTATGTCTCTGCATTTAGGTGCATTTTTCTTTGCAGATCACTTTAAACCGTTGCCGTAGTGTTTGCTTTGCTTATTTCTCTCGGCTGCGAGGACCCTTCAGCTGAACACAGACTTCGTTCAAGTGAGCAGGGAAATACGAGCGTCAAAGGTAGGTAATATTCGATGCGCTTTTTTCTAATGTGAAAAGAATATATAGGGTGAATGTCGACAAGTGCGTTTTTTGTTTCATTTCGGAGGATTTTTTTATATTTTCCGTTTTTAAGAAATGTTTTTACATAATTTGAATCTTTATGGTGTTTTATTTTAATTGTGTAAAAAGGCTAGCAATATCTTTATCAGAAGCTGAGATATTCGAGTTTGAATTTTGAAAAAGGCACCGAAATGATAACAGTCCTCCGAAATGATAATAAGTGTGCACCGAAATGAAAAAAGTCCACCGAAATGATAATTGTCCACCGAAATAATAATAAGTGTGCACCGAAATGAAATATGTCCATCGAAATGAAGTGGTCAAGTGCGAGTCTCTCTAGGCAGGCAGTGTTCTGTTTCTGTATGGTAATTTTCAATGCGATTGGATTTAACGAATAGTCAAAAACAAGCCTGTATGGGAAGGGATTAGCGGAGAACCAACGTAGCGGGTGCAGCAAAGTAGAACGAGTGTGGAACTGGTGACCACAGCAGAGTAGGATGACTGAGGAAGAGGTGGCTACAGCAGAGTGGGACGAGTGAGGAACAGGTGACTACAGCAAAGTGGGACGAGTGAGGAACCGGTGTCTTCAGCAGAGTGGGACGAGTGAGGAACCGGTGTCTTCAGCAGAGTGGGACGAGTGAGGAACCGGTGTTTTCAGCAGAGTGGGACGAGTGAGAAAATGGTATGGTCACTACAGCAAAGTGGGACGAGTGAGGAACTGGTGACTACAGCAAAGTGGGACGAGTGAGGAACCGGTGACTACAGCCGAGTGGGGCTAGTTAAGAACTGGTGACTATGGCAGAGTGAGACGAGTGAGGAATCAGTAGTTTCAGCAGAACAGGACGAGTGAGAAATCAGCAGTTGTAGCAGAGTGAGAGTGGGACGAGTGAGGAAACAGCAGTTGTAGCAGGGTGGGACAAGTGAGGGTGTTGGAAGTAGGTAAGTAGTATGCACGTAGTAGGTAGGTAGTAGGTCGATACGTAAGCGGTATGTTTGCTCTCTAACACACATATTTTCTAGTAGGTAGCTGGGTACCCATCTACCTACTAGTAGCATCTACCTACTAGTAGTGGGTATGTGGCATGCGCGCTCTCTACCACATCTACCTACTAGTAGGTAGATGGGTACGTGGCATGCGCGCTCTCTAAAACAACTACCTACTAGTAGGTAGATGCGCGCTCTCTAACACACCTACCTACTAGTAGGTAGATGGGTACGCGGCATGCGCGCTCTTTAACACATCTACCTACTAGTAGGTAGGTGGGTACGCAGCATGCGCGCTCTCTAAAACACCTACCTACTAGTAGGTAGATGGGTACGCGGCATGCGCGCTCTCTAACACATCTACCTACTAGTAGGTAGATGGGTACGCGGCATGCGCGCTCTCTAACACACCTAGTAGGCTCGCTCTCTAACACAAGTACCTATTAGTAGGTAGGTAGGTAGGTCTCTAACTCACCTACTGACCAGATAGTACGAAGGGAGTGGGTATAGGTATGGTATTATTGTGTGGGCAGTTTACATTTGTCTAGCGAGGTTTTCATAATAGTTTCGTAAATTAACAAACCCTACCTTCGAATTCAACAAGGAACCCTAAGGCATCGAGCCTCTCCAATTTTCCGTGGGGTGTTATCATTTCTGAGGGGTGCTATAGACATTTGAGTCCACCGAATCCTCCGAAATGAGAACGCAGAAATGAAAATAGAACAGTAAATTTCAAATATATTTTTAACTAAAATGATTATAATGAAATCAACAGCACTCAAGTAAAACAGTTCCTAAAGCACATAAACACAGTAATTTTGAGACAAAAGGAATGAGCAATACACGAGTTAAAAAAGGCACCGAAATGATGAAAAAAATGTCGCCACTCCACAGAAATGAAATATTTTCGTTAATGGCGGAAAAACGAAGTGACTTAGATCCCGTGAATCTGCACCGAGCTTTAGAGCGGGACTAATAAAAGGCGTCGAAGGGCAAGCGGATTGCGTAAGCGCAGGGAGTGAGGAGCTATTCTGCCATAAGTTTTTACCCTCTGGAATGAAAGGGCTTCGTCGGACACATGTATTCAGGTCTCTCAAACGTAGTACATTATAGCTAAAGAGATAGGTGATACTTATATTAATTCATTGGTTCACTGTTTATAAAATATAGCTGTTTCATGTCAATATGAGACCACTTTGGCGTAACAAGGTATTTAATGACCAAAAATGTAAAGTGGACACCCCACCGAGATGAAAAAATGACACTTTATTATTTTTTAAATGTGATTTATAGTTTTTCATATAAAATTATATTTATTGTACCAGGTAGTTCACGACATTTTCTACTCGAAAAAAAATTGCGTCATAAGATATTGACACGATACACCCTCGTTATCAGCCCGGACACTCATTTTTTGGGCTTGGGATATTCACCCATAGGGTGAAATTATACCGGCTGGTGATAAGGAACAACTTTCACCTAGGAACATAGGTCGAAATATGAAAAATAAAGGACCTTCCATACTTACTCTAATCAGCTGATTGGCAACTTTGAATGGGAGGTCGAAATTCTTTGTTTTATAATATTTCAGCCTATGTTTCTTAGTGAAACTTGTTCCTGAGTACCAAATTTTTAAAACACTTCTCGTGTTTGGTATACAACGCCGCACCGCAGGCAGGAAGGTTAGTGGGATATACTTGCTAAATTCGCAAGCTTGATAAGAACCGCGGTAGCCCAGTTGGTAGTGGCGTCGGCAGTAGGTACAGATGCTGAAGGTCGCAGGTTCTAATCCTGCCTGCGGTGGAAAATTTTGCAAGTTTTCCAAATATTACCAGCCCGTCCTACATTTCCGCATTGTCTTTAGTAAAATTTCACCGTTTATGACTTACTTTGTATGTCTGATATTCAACAAGCGATCGATGCTGTAAACTCTACGTTGGCTGGTGATAAGGGCAAATTTTCCCAAGGATCATAAATGTTACAACACCATTAATGTTACAAGTTGTTACTTTGACCTTTGCTTTGACCCATACTAAATTCAACACCCTACTGAAAAAGCGATGGATCCATGGAGGTTTTATTTGTCCAATTTTCATGAAGAATTCATACAAGGAAAAGTCGGTTACATTAGTGAGATGTGTAAAAATAAAAAGGGAGAGGTTAAGAAAGTGTGGGTGTGTTTACTAACCCGGGTCATGGGAAAGCCTTTGTATCATTTTAATCGTTTAGAAAGAAAGATATGCTAGCATTCTCAAGTAGTTTTAATTTCGTAGACAATTGCTACGCCTCGTAGCACATTATAGAGTACAAGCTACACTTTGTTTACCTCTCGTCAGTCAGCAAGCCAACTTGAGCTAAGCCTACTATTTTAGACTAGCTGGTGCCCGCGAACTTCGTTTCGCCAAAAGAAGTTTTTGAGCCGACAGAAGCGGCACATCATGCTAAACAAATTTTTCAATACAGACATTTTCGTATCTCTTAAGGGCGCCACACACAGGGCGCGTATGCTTGACGTGCACGTCATCACGCGCGTAGAGATGACGTTGTACTTATCGTATGGGATTGTATGAGAGGCCTGCCTATGTATGCGTGCACGTAATCACGCGAGTAGCACGGTGTGCGGTGCCTCATACAATCCCAGACGATACAACGTCATCTCTATGCGCGTGATATCGTGCACGTCACGCATACGGGCCCGGTGTGTGGCGCCCTTTAATATTTTGCCGAGTTCATGGTGTCCCGTCACGTAGGTAGACAGAGAGTACCTCCAGTGCTGATAAAGGTTCTCACTAATCATAAAATATGATCAGAACGTTTATCTTCCACCATACCAAACATCTAAAAACATCGCTTAATTTTTGAGTGATTCATGCACAATTTTTACACATAATGGTACGTTTTCATTTTCGATGTTTGTCTCATGGTTATTATTTTATGCGTGATTTGTACGATTAGGGCATGCAAAGATAATAGTGATGAGATGACGATGATGATGGAATAACCTAGAGAAACCCCAGACTACCGCCGATGTGAGTTTGTTACTTGACTTTGAAAGGGAAAGCCCACTTCGATCCCTCCTGTTTCAAAGTCTGAGCGCCTGAGTTAGGTACATCTTGATGATATAGGTAGTTGACAGTACCAACACCGGTGTTCTTTTATTATTTTTATGTGAAGGAGCAAATCCGAGTTGACCCATGTCGAAGGATGCTTGTTTCTTTCTATTTCTTCTACTTACTTATTTCACTTCTGTTTTTCTTTTCTTATTAAATAGTTGTGTAGGTAATAGGTATGTATACTTTTTATTTATTTACGTACCTACCTACCAAAAGTGATAGGCCTGCAGGAGCGGCCCATCAAGCTGTACATATTTTTTTTGTAGCTGTTTCTAAGACGCGCTATCGAAATGTTCTTTTGAAAACTATTGCAGGGGTATTTGACACCGACCTGTAACAGTTTTAATACATGTACATACAGATTTCTGTACTATCGCCAGCAAATCCACCTACCCATTTAAGACACAAACTAACTGTATGCCCCGCCCTCATAACTTCGTCATTTTCAATCGATCGACATCTTTGATGTGAAGATAGATCGTGTTGCTTGACACCAATTTAGAATGTTGGGAAAAAAATGTTTTTATTTTTTGGCGTAGGTACATGTGAAAGGAGGATAAAAAAAAACATCTGCTATATTAAGTAGGGTATCGTTAAATAGATCTTTAAAAATTGAGGCGAGGTTTTTTTTAAAAAAATCACAAATGTGATTCTGCCTCGAAGTATTTGCTTTTGTGGGGAGTTTTCTCTTCCTAGAACTAAATATTTGAAAAAAAAATTAGATCTTAGTCTGAAGTTACCATAAAAACTATATCGAATACTGTATGGCCACGCAAGTTTTAAGAAAAATAAAAGATTTTTAATTTGTGGTTCGTAAGCATACTTACTATACTGCAAACAAACCAGCAACGAAATTAGGTAACTTCGTAACGCTGATATTTAACATTGACTACAAACCCTACTTATTTGTCTGACACGCTCTTGGCTGGTTTTTTATTTTGTAAGTTGGTACGTGTTCGAATCTCGACTCCAATATGGGAGTAAAAAAAAACTGCAAATATTGTAAGGGGTGAACCAGTTCAAGAAACTTTTAGTAGATATCATAAGGGCGCAAAACAACACTTCTACGGCGAGGGCGCTTTTTTGAATTCAGAGCGAAGTAAGGGATTCTAGAGTAGAATCCCCGAAGCCAAAATATATTTTGCGCCCGAGTAATTCACTCTACTTTTCATCACCCTCTATGAGAAAATAAAAGGCGCCTCATATTTTATTGCAATGTTTTTCACTGTCACTTGAACTAATTGTATGACGCTCTGCCTACCCCGCAAGGGATAAAGGCGTGATGTATGTATGTATGTATGTATGTTGAACAAATTTTTCAAAAAGTTAAATAAAATTCTAACATACGTACGTGTAATTTTTGGTGAAAATTACGGACTGTAATTCGCGCGTATCTTTTTTTTAGTTCTATTGGGGACGCGCGACTATGGGCCGTCGTCCCATACAGCCTTTATTCGAACAATATTTGCGTTCTATTTCTTTGGCGCTGAGCTGACTGAACCCATGGACTGAACATCAAGATGTTCTAAATTCAAAGTAGTAGATGAAAACAAACTTTCCCCAAAAAACAGGTAGTTCAAAATACGGGGTGTTAGGGACGGTGTAACGAAAACTTTGCAGGCGAGCTCAGACCATCAAACTGAACAACTTTCACTATGGAGCCAATGGTGGAAAACGAAAAAAAATTTCTGACCTCCCATACAAAATTTACGATCAACTGACAGACTTTGTATGGGAGGTAGAAAAATTTTTTCGTTTCCCACCATTGGCTCCATAGTAAAAGTTGTTCAGTTTGATGGTCTGATCATGCCAGCAAAGTTTTCGTCACACCGTCCCTAACACCAGTAAAAAAAATTACTGCAAATATTTTAAGGAGTGAACCAGTGAAACTGAACAACTTTCCCCAGGGAACATAGGTCGAAATATGAAAAAAGAATTTGGAACTCCTATACAAAATGTTCTGGCCGGCCGGTTCAGTTTGAATGGGAGGGCCAAATTTTTATTCGTATTTCGACCTATGTTTCTTAGGAAAAGTTGTTCAGTTTCATGGACTGGTTTAGTCGTAAAATACGTGCAGTAATTTTTTTACCTACTGTAGGAAAAAAATAATTGGACCTCCCATACAAAATGCTCCAGCCGTCACGATAGCTGACCAAGTTAAATTTGTAGGGAAGGGAAGGATTTTTTTTCATTATTCGACCTATGTTCCTTGGGGAAAGTTGTTCAGTTTCATGGACTGGTTCATCCCTTGGAATAGTTTGAGTAGTTTTTTTTACATCTTATAGTAACTTATTCCTCTACCGCACGTCAACGCACGCAATATCGATTAACGTGCAAACTTATTTCAAGTATAGTGGCAAACCCCCCTTTTAGGGGTCAAATTTTTTTAGCCTATAACCTGGTCGGTAATTTTCCCGACATTTTGGTATAATTTGTATCACAATCGGTTCAGTCGTTTTTGCGTGATGCTTTCACATACAAACAGATAAACAAATAAACAAATAAACAGATAAACATCTAAACAGAAAAAAAATCTAAAAATTGCTGAAACGTGTTCGTGTTCTGTTATCAATTTTAAGTATCACCAAACAGTTTTTTTTCGAAAATCTTCTATGTACAGACTTTCGACCCTCTACAACTTTATTAAGTATATGTATAGAAGATATAACCAGAGTAGATAAAATGAGTGCAAACAATTTGGCAGGGGGATTGGCAAGCGCAGTGCAAGATGTTGCATTCACAAGCTACGCTGATGCCTTGAACGCATTAGTCGGACTTTTCGTATTTTGAAGTGACAATAGTGCCACACGAGACTTTCCAGCAACATTTGTGACGAACTGAAGTGATCGAAGCCAGGTTTTGGACAATCTATTTTTCAAAATTCTGATAAATACTCTTCACATAAATAAACGCCATACTCGAAACACTACCAGCGCCATCTATCCAACGCAACGCTAACTACCAACTCTGCGTGCGCAGGTCGCGCATACACAAATTGCGCATGACCTAACATACGACGACGCTGGAGCTATTAATAGAAGTTTCTGCAAGAGGGCGTTGCTGTGCACTGGTGAACCACCTTACCTGCGCTCGCGACGAACGACGACACCTTCTGCCGTAAAGTTACCGCTCTTATCTATCAGAGGGCGCGACCGTATACGAGAATGGCTAGATGCGGTAAATGTAACCAGGTCGTTAAAGACAACGAAAGGAAGACGTGTACACAATGCTTATCTGTTTACCATCTAAGCTGTATTTCATCTGAAAATTCACCTAAAGGCGCCAAAAAACCTACCGACCTGTGGAAATGCCCCAAATGCAATCCATCTGCCTTTGCTACGCCAGCAGCGCCTCAATCTCACTCTACAGATCAACTTACAAGTTACATTGGTCGACCTGAAAAACTATTTCGAAAACAAGCTCGAGGCAGTCAAGAAAGATATTCTTCAGGAGCTTACCGTAGAAATAAAGAAAGTCAAGAGTCGAGCTGCGAGCATTGAGACCAAATATGACCTTATTCTAGGTAAAATTAATACCTTAGAAAGTACCTCAAAGGACGCCCACAAGAAGCAGGTCGACCAGGAAAAGCGTATCGTTGCGCTGGAGGAGCAGATCAATCAACTCCGTACAGAGATGAAAAGCTTGAACGAGTACAAAGTCTCTACAGATCAACAGCTGGCCGAGTTCGAT